ATACCAGTTTGTCCCATTCACAAGACTTAGGGTTGACTTAATTGGTTTAAAAGGAGAAGAGGAGAAGAGACGTGTGCTTTCATCCTCCTCAAGTAACATGTTTAAATTTATTTATTTTTAATTTTAAATAATAAATAATAATTTTAAAAAATATATATTTATAATATATTAAATGAAAAAATATTTCAATTAATATCCATTGTTACGATGTTAACTAATACCAGTTTGTCCCATTCACAAGACTTAGGGTTGATTTAATTGGCTCCACACAAGACTTAGGGTTGACTTAATTGGTTTAAAAGGAGAAGAGGAGAAGAGACGTGTGCTTTCATCCTCCTCAATTATGATATTAGAATTTATCGATAACAGAAGTGATGCTCTGTCATTGATGTGGGACAACAATTCTTGGAGTAGTCAATTATGTAATTTACGTCAGTTAAAGCTTGGGGTCAAGCCCATTGACTTCTGCAGCCTCTTTGATCAAGCCAAGTAGATTATATAAATGAATTCTTATTTTTTTAAAAAAAAAAATTCTAAATTGTGGGTTGCAAGGTAACAGGTATGACTTGAATTTAGTTTGGTTTATGCACCGTGAGTCAAATATAACCAGACATTCGTTCACACATAATTTAAATAGGGGTAAAAGTCTTGTAAGGATAGGTTCGAGGTCCTTAACCTCTCGGACGTACTGTAACAATCCTTTAATAGTCGAAGTGAGATTAATTCCAACACTTTTGGTCAAATGACTACATGGTAAATATAGTGGACATGTCCGCACTTAATCTATCACACAACTTCTCGGTCCCGAATTTAACATTGGTGCCGAATTTACCTCACTAAGGGACACGTCACGATCCGACTATCTTGCTTGGCATGCCACGTGGGTTCCTCGCTAGACCCTATAAATACCCCTCCAGAGGCCACGTTAAAAAGGTAATTGAAAACCAACCTTAAGCTCCTTTTATCTCCGCTCTAAAAGTGACCCCGATTATTGCTGACTTAAGCATCGGAGTGTCTACTCCGAAACCCACCTCGAGGCTTTGCAGGTCAATCTGGAGTGTAGATACGGACTGAAGAAGGACTTCTGATTTGGTGCAATTACATTTGGCGTCGTCTGTGGGAATCCGAACTGAAAGCTCCCTTGTGGCTCTTATCATGGTTAATACTCGATTGGTCCGAGTTGGAAACTCATCTCAGCCTCTTGGACGAGGTCAGGTCCCCAGCAACCTTCCACCTCACCTCCCACCTCCAATCCCAAATATATTCCCTCCTGTTGACCATGCAGAAGGAGGAGATGAAAATCAACCACACAACTCAGCTCACAACTCAGCTTCCACTGCCAACCAAGACGTAGTCGCAGCTCAACTTGCTGCCATGCAACAACAATTTGGTGTCTTTCAACCAACGCTGTCTCAGCTCTTAGCTCGGAACAACCCTGGTAATCCCCTCATCAATCTACTTAACCCTGTTCCACAACCCCCAGCTCCACAACAAAACCCTGAACTAGTTCAGCATGCTCCTGCTTTTAGTGAATCTCAAGGCTAGTCTCACATAGCACCAGCTCAACAACCCCTTCTTGATGATGCCACTCGACGTCTAGATAGCTTAGAAAAGCTAGTAGCTGAACAGAGAGATGCCCCACCTCCACACCATGCTACTGACTCCATACCCCACCCTCTGAACACCAACATCACACTGGAACCCTATCCTGCTGGCTTCAAAATACCTCAGCTTGAGACTTATGATAGGACGAAGGATCCCGATGATCACCTACATGCTTTCTACTCTTACATGCAAGCTCAGAACGCCTTTGACGCGTTGATGTGCAAAATTTTTCCCTCTACTCTTCGAGGTAATGCTCAAACCTGGTATTACAGTCTACCTCTAAGGTCAATCAGCTCTTATACAGAAATGGCATCTGCTTTTGCCACAAAGTTTTCCAGTAGAAGATTGATAAAGAAAACTACTTCTGAGTTGATGCAAATTAAACAGAGGGATGGAGAATCATTGAAGAATTATATGAGCAGATTCAATGATGCAATATTGGAGGTTAGCTCATTTGACCAGGCTGTGGGGATCGCAGCTATGATCTCAAGTCTTAACCATGAGAGATTCAGAGATAATTTGATCAAACACCCTGCCACCACCTTTAGCGAGGTCAATGATAGGTCTCTAAAATTTATAATTGCTGAGGAATATGCCCTGTCGCAGAACCCAACTCCCTCTAAGAACCAAAACCCAGACTGGAGATATGAGAATCCGAGCAGGAAAAGGATGAGGATGGCACAGAACTGAGGTCCGATGCTGACTTCCACATCGAGATTCGGAAGGCCGAACTCAGCACCTCCACAACAGTCTGCAGGTAAACCCCCAGTTACTTGAACAGCCGAGGTTTGTTAGAGAACAAGGGCCATAGCCTCAAGGAGTCCACAATCCACCAAACAGGCAAGGCGTGGGATATTAGCAAGCCCCTCCCCCGCTCCCACCACCAGTTAGAATCATACACATGATTACGGGAGGCCTAGAAGCAGGTGGACTGAGCTCTAAACAGCGAAAGTTGCATGTTAGAAAGGTTAAGCATCAAAACCAAGCTTAGAAACGGAAGTTTGACGACACTAATTGGAAGAATCAACCAATTACTTTCACATATGTTGATTTTGACACAGTTGTTACACCCCACAATGATCCTTTAGTCACTTCTGTCATGATTAACAACTGTGATGTACAACGTGTCCTTGTTAACACCGAGAGTGCACTAGACATCATGTACTTCCACTGTTTTGAGAGTCTTGGACTGGATCCAGCATTGTTGCAGAGATATGATGGTCTCATCTATGGTTTCAACAACCAGCCAATTCAGGTAGAAGGAGTTCTTACCCTCTATGTTGCTTTTGGGAGTGGCCGAACCTATGTGACTCCTTCAGTCCGGTTTCTAGTAGTCAAGATGGCATCTTCTTTCAACGTTGTTATTGGCCGACCCACACTGACTGAAATTCGAGCTGTGGTTTCCTAGTTTCACCTCTGCATGAAGTTCCCAACACCTATGGGAATAGCAACATTGCGAGGCAACTAGGAGGTGGCTAGATATTGCTATATCACCTCAGTAACACAACCTAAGAAGGGCAAAGATCAGACACCCGAGGCCATCCCCCAACGGATTCCTGATAATCAGCAAGTCATGGGAGTTGAGATAGTAGACAACCGACCTGAAGATGAAACCAGAGCTACTCTAGTTGAGGATGTTGAAGAGGTGCACATTGATGACAGAGATTCGAACCGAAAGACGCAAATTGGAACTAGATTGAACCCGAAGGAAAGAGTACAGCTAATAGCTTTGCTCCGAGCTAACAGCTTTGCTCCGAGCTAACAATGATGTTTTCGCTTGGACTTCGGCAGACATGCTAGGAGTTCCACCTTCAGTATCCCAAACATAAGCTCAGCACCAATCCATTGAAGAAACCAGTGACCCAGAAGCGACGTCTCTTTGGGGGGGAGAGACTTAAGGTCATAAAAGAAGAGGTAGAGAAGCTTTTACAAGCTAGTTTTGTCAGAAAAGTTAATTATTGCGAATGGGTGGCTAACCTAGTATTGGTAAAAAAAGCAAATGGTAAATGGCAAATGTACATCGACTACACAAATCTTAACCAAGCTTGCCCCAAGGATTGCTATCCGATGCCGAGCATTGACAAATTGGTTGAAGCAGCTTCAGGCAATGAGAGATTAAGTCTTTTGGATGCATATTCTAGGTATCACCAGGTGCCGATGGCTTTAGAAAACGAAGAGAAAACCTCATTCTATACTGGTGATGAAATTTATTGCTATGTCATGATGCCGTTTGGCTTAAAGAACGCAGGTGCTACTTATCAGAAAATGGTGACCATCGTCTTCCAAGCTTAGATCGGCAGGAATCTGGAGGTTTATATCGATGATATTGTGGTAAAGAGCCTGAAAGCAGAAGACCATCTAGCTGACCTCGATGAAACTTTCAATAATCTCAAGAAGAACAGAATGCGGTTAAACCCAGCCAAATGCACCTTCGGCATGGAGTCTGGAAAATTTCTAGGTTTCATGGTTTCTCGGAGAAGGATTGAGGTCAATCCAGAGAAGATCAGAGCAATTGCCGAGATGGAACCGCCGAAGTCAGTGAAAGATATACAGAGGTTGACTAGAAGGGTGGCAGCTTTTCATCGGTTCATATCAAAGTCAGCAGATAAATGCCTGCTATTTTTCAAAATTATGAGGTCAGCCGCCCAAAAGGATGAATCGGGTAAACAGAAGAAGTTTGAATGGAATCAGGCATGCCAAGCCGCATTCAAAGAGCTGAAGTCTTATCTTAGCTCACCACCTCTACTAACTAAGGCTATAGATGGAGAGATTCTCTATTTGTATCTAGGAATTTCAGATGAAGCCACTAGTTTGGTTCTGGTGAGAGAAGAAGCCAAACAACAGAAACCAATCTATTACATTAGTAACGTGCTGCATGGCGTAGAATTGAGATATGCTATTGCTGAGAAAGCAACATTAGCGGTTGTCACTTCGGATAGGAAGCTGAGGCCATATTTCTAGTCACACCGAATCATTGTCTTCACAGACCAACCTCTTCGACAGATTCTGCAGAAGCTAGAGTGCTCCGGAAGATTAAGTGGGCAGTAGAATTGGGGGAATTCGAGATAACATTTCAGCAGAGATCTGCAATCCGAGCTCAAGCACTGGTAGATTTTATTGTAGAATGCACTCCATGTCATTCAACCCCTAATCCAGAGCCCAACAACTAGACCTTATATGTTGATGGGGCATCTAGTAGCAAGGGTTTAGGAGCTGGTGCTCTCTTGATTGGTCCAGATGGATACCGAAGTGAACAAACCCTGAAATTTAACTTTGATGCAACAAACAACATAGTTGAGTATGAAGCTCTGCTACTTGGTCTACAACGAGCATTGGAGTTGAAAATCAGCGCAATCCAAGTGTACAGTGACTCCCAGCTGGTGGTGAATCAAATCAACTCAATCTGCGAAGTCGTCAATCCTGTGATGGTGAAATATGTAACCTTAGTGGCCGAGCTGAAGTGCAAATTTCAGAAATTCTGTCTGAGCAAAATTCCCCGAACTGAGAATGAACAAGCAAATTCACTCTCTAAGTTTGCCTCTGATAGCTCTTTAAGTTCCAAATCAGTTTTTGTGGAGGTCTTAGATGAACCAAGCTTCATGAAGCCACGGATGATGGAGATTAGCACAGACCCAAACACGCCGAGCTGGACTGACTCAATTATCTCCTTTTTACGAGACGGGATAGTACCTGAGGACAAGCAGGAGGCAATGAAGTTGAGGAAGAAAGCATCTCGGTATACACTTGTTGATGGGGTCCTCTATAAAAGATCTTTCTCACTCCCTCTTCTACGATGCTTGAATCCCTATGAAGTGGAATACGCACTTTGGGAGGTGCATGAAGGTGTCTGCGAAAGTCACATAGGTGCTCGAACTTTGGCTCATAAAGTCCTTAAACAAGGTTATTATTGGCCCAACATATATACGAATGCCACCCAGTTCATACAAAGGTGTCAAAATGTTAATTCTTTGCACATCTAATTCACCAGCCAACAGAAGAGTTCACTACTTTGATAGCACCTTGGCCATTTGCTCAGTGGGGATTTGACCTTCTAGGTCCATTTCTGAAGGGGGTAAAAGGTGTAACCCATCTGATTGTTGGTGTGGATTATTTTACAAAATTGGTTGAAGTTCGGCCATTATCTAGCCTTACCTCCAAGAAGATCGAAGACTTTGTGTTTAGCTCAATCATTTGCAGATATGGGATCCCAAACCAGATTGTGGCTGATAATAGAACTCAGTTCAATTGCTCCTCATTTAGAGATTTCTACTCCAGTTATGGGATCAAGTTGCAGTTCACCTCGGTGTACCATCCAAAATCTAATGGGATGGTAGAATCTGTCAACAAAGTTATACTCAAAGGTATAAAACCAAGGTTAGAGCTGCATAAAGCTAGGTGGGCAGACGAGCTCAACAACGTCCTCTGGGCATATAGAACTACGAGCCGAACTACCACAAGTATCACTTCAAACTTAGTTTACTTGATTACTTTTCATCTTATTTTACTTCTTCTTCTACGGCTTTACCTTAGATCAAATATGCATAACGCATAAAACGCATTCTAAAATTATAATTAACTGAAATAGGTGAAACACCCTATCATCTGGCCTTTGGTACCGAAGCAGTCATTCCTATCGAGATAAGAGTCCCAAGCTTCAGGGTTACCCATTTTGATGAAGGACGAAATAGACAACTGCTTTAGGAGAACCTTGATCTGCTTGACGAAGTCAGGGAGGAAGCACGACTTCGAAGTCTAGTTTACAAGCAGAAAATAGCAAACTTCTACAACAAACGAGTTCGGCCCCGAGCATTCAAAGTAGGAGACCTTATTCTCAGGAAAGCTGGTTTAACGGGGTTCGAAACTCGATTCGGAAAGTTAGCACCAAACTGGGAAGGCCTCTACACTGTAGCCGAAATGCCGCACCCAGGTGCTTACATCCTATGGGACACTGAAGGCAAAAAAGTTCCCAAAGTCTGGAATGTCAATAACTTGAAGAAATTTTACCCTTAATACACTTTTTTCCAGTGAACTTTGTCTTATTTTTATAAGCCTTATTATTTTCTCCCTTTCTGCTCAATGTACATACAAGCTCAATGCATTTATCTCATTAATGAATTCACTTCACATTCGAAGTGATTCGGTTCTTTCTACCCTTCTATACATTGGTAGTGAATTTCACCTATTCCTGAAAGTTAATTCATTGTGAGTTATTTAGTCACTTCACTTTCTAGGTTACGATTTTATTAATCAATTACACCTTACCTTTGAAGTGATTTATTTTATCTTTTCTCATTTGTATATTTGAGGACCGCCTTATGTATATCTGAAGTCAAATCCCTTGCTGTTCATTTAAGTGTCCGAGGTCAGTTCCTCGTGTCAATTAAAGTCACCTTATCTGAAGTGATTTACTCGAAATAAAACAACAATGCTAAATGAAAACTGAAATCCAAAAATAATTTCAAAAATTTTGTAAATTAATAAAAATTCATTACAAAATTGTTCACTAACATAAATCTAACAATACACATCAAAAAATCCCTAAACTATTCCGTTGGTGGAGATGGCTGCTGTGGCTCCTGCTCTGTTGAGAGAGGTGGCTGCTCTTCTTCACAGGGAACTGGATGCACCTCTATAGGAGGAGATGGCTAACTCTTCTCAACTGTAGTCCCTCCAGCTTCTCCTTCCTCTTCCTCCATTGCCATGAACTCAAAGTCAAAGTTAGGAGGAAAAACGGCTCGTCCTTCGGCATCATGAACCCACCTTAGCTTAACCTGAGGTCGGAAATCTGCTGACAGGCTTTCGCCGTCTTCCTCCACCCCTTCCTCTTGTTCACCAAAGTAATCTTGGTGATATCCACCTCGGGATATTCAGCCTTGACCCTTTTTCTGCAATCAGTGAAGGCGAGGATCGCAGTCGACAGCCGGTAGAGATTGACAATGTTGTCAAACGTACTAGAGTTGATAAAGTTGCTGATGTGCTCCTCCATCCCGTTGTGTACCAACAGTTGGACATTCTTTTTCAATTCCACCTCGGATTCTCTCATTCTCTTTATTTCTTCTTCTTAAGCATCATTCTCTTCTTCACACATTTTTCTTTTCTTTTCCTCGAATGAGAGAATCGTCTTCAGCGTATTTCTTTCCTCTTGCAGACTTGTCACTGCTGGCACCACGACTTCCAGTTCCCTCCTCATTTCATTGTTTTTCTTCAACAGCTCATTCCTCTCCTTCTGCAAGCTGTTGCGATCCTTCATCAATTCCAGAAATTCTTAGGCTAACGCGTTAACCCAATTTGCAATCTGCCACATCAACACAACCAAATTAAAAAAAAAAAAAAAAAAAGAGAAAAGAAGAGAAGAGATGCAAATCTTACCTCCAAAGCATGCTTCACAACTGCATTCCCTCCATGCAGCAAGACTTCTTCCCTCGCTTCGCGGTGATCCACCTCGGGAATGTACGTGTTGATGAAGTTCTTCGTTGCAGAGAAGTTCTTGCTCCCAAAAATGGTGTTCTAGAGAAAAAGGGCAGGCACCAATGTCTTTCCCTTGCCAGGGGCAGGGACCTCGCTCTCTCTGAGGTCCGGATCAAGCTCCATAGGCGCAGGACAAGGTACGAACTCCACTACCTCGTCCCCCCCGACTTCCTCCTCCATCCTCTTCTTCTTTTTCTAAGCCTGATCAGCTTCATCCCTCTTTCTCTTTGACCTCAGCTCCCCTTCCTCTGCACTTCAGGGTTATGTGCTTGACATCTACCCCTTCTCCAGATTTTCTTCTCCTTTCCCAACCACAGCCTTTCCCAAACTTTGGGACTTCTTCCTTGGCTTTTTGGGGATAGCCACTCCACCAACAGCATTGAGAAACATGTTCATTTCCACTGCAAAACAACAATTTTGTCAAAATCCACCAATCATAAACAAACTTTTACACACATCACAATACACCAACACACCTTCGCTTAGTGCGCTCAGCCTATAAAGTTCAACTGCTTCTATAGCATCTGAATTGGTGAGAAACATGATATCTACTATGACACCCTCTTTTCTCACTAGCTTCTTTATTTCTTCCTCCTCATCCCTATTTAAACTATATCTATTCTAGTTGGCCTTTTAGCCTTCCAAGTAGCCAGAGACTCCACCTCTGCATCTCCCCTATCTCATTCGGTGTCATTAACAAAGAAAAATTTTTCCTTCCATCCCTTAATGGAAGAAGGCCCTACACTAAACAAGTTTCTTTTCTCTTTTTTGGATGACCGAGGTGTAAAGTAGTAACACCCTTTCTCCTTCCTATTGCTAGCTTTAAGCACAAAAAAGTGCTTAAACATATTTACTATGGGCACCCTAACCCCCTTAGCTCGGCAGTAAACTACAAATCCAATTATCACCCTCACTACATTGGGCGATAATTGGGTTAAGCCTACACTATACTCTACTAGCAACCACACTAACAAATCAAGTAAAGGAAATCTGAGCCCTGCTGCCAAGTAATGGGCATACACTAGCATCCAGTGATCCTTGGGTGCAGAGCATGCCCTTTCTTTAACCCCAGCAGGCCTAATTAACACTCTAGATGATATTTCATAGCTTTATACGAGATAACTCAGGCTATCCCTCCCCCTGAGCTCAGACTCATACCCCTTTACCTCAGAGACAATGTCTACCCCACTATCATAACACTTATCCCTCTTATCTTCCACTTCCAAAATATTGACAGGCACCTCTTTTGCCCCCACCTCAACTACCTCATTTCTCCCTACCCCTCCCTCTGTCTGCTCAAATCCAGACGATTCACCCTCAATGCTCACATCACTATACTCCAACATCCTTACTTCCTTACTCCCCCCAATGCTTAATGTATCCTCCGAAGACATCTCCTCAGTCTCGTAACTTTCGCTGCATGGAGTAAGGGGAGGGATGTAGTCAGGATCTTCAAAAAACTCTAACTCACGCTCAATATCACTCTCACTCTTAACCCTAATCTCTTTAAAAGGGCTTAAATCTAAATCAACAAGGGTGAGAGGCGAATAAACTTCACTACCAAAACTAGAATTACAAAAGTTCATAAGTTACCTCATTTCGATAGTGCAGAACGAGTTTTGAAGTCAAAAATGTGTCACACAAATCACTCACAGAAACACTGTAGAAAATTTGGCAGCACTTCAATAGCAAATACAGAGAAAGTAAAGTTCTTTTTACAGAGGTATAGCTTTATATGCCAAAGAAAATATACGCTTCGACGGCTCTGATTAATTTCATCTAATGGTCACGCTTACACCGTTTCAAATGTGACGGTTAATCCCCAAGGGAAATTTCCTGAACTTGATGGTTCGTTTCCCATCTCGTCCGCTTAATTGTGCAATTATTTTTTTACAACCTGTATTTATTGTACATGTCTTTTGACAGATAGCTGTCATGTCACATAAATAACCCTACGTCAGACTTTTTAAACGAGCCACTCAAGCCCGCCTCAACACTTCTATATTTTTAAACTTACAAGTGTTTTACTTTGGCTCTGGCCATTATGACTACAGTCATTATTTTTTACTTCGGCTCCGGTCATTATGACTACGGTCATTATTTTTTACTTCGACTCCGGCCATTATGACTCCAGTCATTACATTTTACTTTGACTGAGGCCAATGTGACTCCGGTCATCATTTTTTGTTACGGTCCCGGCCGCTATGACCCCAGTCATCACTGCTTCCCATGCCCACGGCCACTATCATCACCTCTACAAAATCATTTACAAGTGAATGACTTCAGGGGGAGGGGGGGAGAATAGTGTAAGGATAGGTCCGAGGTCCTTAGCCTTGGACGTACTGTAACAATCCTTTAATAGCCGAAGTGAGATTAATTCCAACACTTCCGGTCAAATGGCTACATGGTAAATATAGTGGACATGTCCGCACCTAATCTATCACACAACTTCCCGGTCCCGAATTTACCTCACTAAGGGACACGTCACGATCCGACTATCTTGCTTGGCATGGCACGTGGGTTCCTCGCTAGACCCTATAAATACCCCCCCAGAGGCCACGTCAAAAAGGTAATTGAAACCAACCTTAAGCTCCTTTTATCTCTGCTTTAAAGGTAACCCCGATTATTGCTGACTTAAGCATCGAAGTGTCTACCCCGAGGACCCACCTCGGGGCTTTGCAAGTCAATCCGAAGTGCAAATACGGACTAAAGAAGGACTTCTGGTTTGGTGCAATTACAAGTCTCCAAAATTATAAGCTAAATTAGAGCAAAGATGAGAGCTTATTGTTTGAGAGGATCATGTGACACAATAAGCACTATTCTTAATTGCTTTTAGTTGATGTAAAATTGCAATAGTACATTAATGTTTCATAAATTAGCATATGTGATAATCTTCATATTTGTAGATTTGATTTTCATATTTATCTCATTTATTGTATAAATAATGCTTCATTTAGTGCTAATAGTGCTTTTACGAAAAGTAAGTTTACAAGAGCAAAAAGTCCAAAATAGCAAGATGAGGAAGTTTTCATTGACAATTTGAGTATTCAAGGGACTAAGTTGAAGGAAAATGAGGACTGAAATGTCAAAAACTAGAACAATGAGGATCAAGGAAAAATTCAACAAATAAAAGAGGGAAATTGCAAAGGGAGAAACCTTTTCTTGTAACGTTGGGCCGACTTCTTGAATTTCTCAATTAATCTCAAAGAAAAAAGGAATCCTGAATTATTTATTTTAATCCTTCTTAATAAAAAAATAAAAAACAAAAGGTTAAATGCTAATTTTGATCCCTCAACTTTATGGAGTTACACTTTTTTGATCGCTCTACTATTTTTTGCACTTTTTTTATTCCTCAACTCTAAGAGATGCACAATTTTGGTCCTTTAGTCAGTTTGAGCCGTTAAGTCCGTCCATGTGGCATTTTTTATATTTTTTTTAATGACATGACAAATTAAAGTAAAACAAAATGGTTATATGGACAAAAAGTTATTCAAGTCAAATTCCACCTCAACTAAACCATGGACCCACCTTTTAATTCATTCATTAAACTATAATTACTTATTTTAATCAAAATCCAAACTCCAATTAATTTCTACTTAAATCACAATTTTCTCAACAAATTTTCTTAACAACCATGACAATTTTCTCAACAACCAAACACCATTAATACAATACTCATTCCAAAACATTGATTGAAACCATTTTCTCAGCATCTAAACGCCCAAACTGTACAATTTTCTAGCCAAGCAAATGGAAACCCATAAAAAATTGCTTCTTTGCCCATCGGTCACTGATTTTGTTCTTTCCAGCACCAGCGATGTTCTTTCCATTTTGAATGTTAAAATCATTTAGACAATAGTTAAGAAATATAAAGCAAAAGGATCCCAAAAATCCATCACAACCTTTAATTTGCATAAACTCAATTGCTCATTCACAACAAATAATCCAGCCACTGGTCACAACCTAAAATTTGCATAAACTCAATTGTTCATTCGCAATAAATAATCTAGCCACTGGGTTCCGTTGAACCCAGATTTGCTAGGTTCACTAGGTTTGAGGAACCCATCTACTAGGTTCCACTGGACCGAGCAACTGGGTTCCGTCGAACCTAGATCTGTTGGGTTTGGTGGAACCTAGCCACTGGGCTCTATCCAACCTATCTTGGGTTCGAGGAACCTAGCTATTGGGTTCAAGGAACCTAGCTACTGGGTTTGACGGAACCCAAATCTATTGGGTTTGACAAAACCTAGCAGTTGCTGGGTCAACACAGAGGAAGAAAAATGGGGAAGAAAGAGAGGAAAAAGATGGATTGAAAGAAGGGGAAAAGATGGAACAAAAGGGGGAGACAAGGGTATTAAGGTAACTTTATAGTTTTTTATTTTTTATTAAAAATATAAATTCTAATCTAATTTCACATTTGATTTGGCATTTGTATTTGTACATGTAATCAAATTGTATGATGTGTTATTACCATGTCATAAAAAAATTTAGAGAAAAGACCATTGTGGAATTTTTAACTACTATGTCATAGATAACTGACGAAGGGACCAAAATTATGCAGCATTTAGAGTTGAGGGATAAAGAAAATGTAAAAAATAATAAAGGGACCAAAAAAGTACAACTCCATAAAGTTGAGAGACCAAAATTAGCATTTAACCAAAACAAAAGTGATAATCATGACTTGTTATCATTTAAAATGTCTAAGACTCTTTGTGAAATTCTTTAAATATATATATATATTTTTTTTATTTAGCAATCAAAGTGTCCTTGAACCCGCTTGCATGCACCTCAAGACTGATCTATTCTCAATCTAGTCAAAGACAATCAATTATTTAAAATATTATTGATGAATCTTTCTCTTGTATTATTTTTAAGGATATTTAAGATTTTTATTATTATTCCCACCATTTAAATTGTTAAGAAAGACTAATTTTTCATAATAATAGAGAAAAAGATGTTTCTCTCTCACTACTAAGTATTCCAATCCCAAGGCTTTTGTAAGAGGGTTTATCTACCAAAGGAGGCGATTACCTCCTAGTTCCAAGCCAGTTCCCATGAGGATACATCCAAACAACCCTATTAAAACTGATATTAAGGCTAAATTGCTAGACTGCTAAGATCTTATCAAGGTCTACTAGTTATCTATACTTTAACTACTACCTGTAGTTGCAATGTGCACCTACATGTTTGAATCGCCTCCTCACAAATCACTCAAGATGCACCATATCTTACTCCACAAATTAATGTTGATTCAACTACTCTAAAAGAAGTGAATTATAGTCTTCAAAGTTGTCTCCTTTTTGCAATCACAAGATGAAAATAAATAATAGAATGGAAGAACAAATAGCATAAAGGATTTTATAAAGGTTTAATCCAAACCTTAAAGAGTTGATACCCTCTCTTGAGCTCAAGGATAAAAGCTTCCATTTCCTAGTTAGAGCCGCCACTGGGTGCTCCAAGCTTTGGCCTTTAGGTTCTAGTTTCATTGCCTTATCTTTCCCTTGTAAATACCATCTCTATCTTCCATGACCTTCTCTTACGTGTTCCTTGTTTGATTATCTATTACCCTTTCAATTTCATGGAAAAAACCCTAAAAGGAGCTACTACAATCCTTCTTGCTTATCTTTCATAATAATTTGTTACCATGCACCTTGGATTGAAGCAAGCCATAATAGGCTAGTTCCTCATAGCACCATCAATCGAAAGGTTGTGGATTTTAGAGTGGGTATAGATCTATCTATTTGGGAGTTTCATCTTCAACTCTAATATGAATTCCTTAAGATGGGGTTTCAAAATCCATGGCAAAAACCCACAGGTTCTATTGGGTTTTGTAGCTATAGGTGATGCTTTTCCTAAAATACCCTTTTAATCACTTTGGATTCTATTTCTCATATTTAGATGTCTGATTCTTGTTTCATAGACTACATTTAGGGTTTTTTCTTACAAAGTTGATGAATTTTATGTATTGGATTCAATTTTCAATTTAAGACCTACGTCTTTGATCCTCCTTGGTTTTCAATGTGTTAGGGTTTTATTTGGGTAGGTGCCTGTACTATTCAATGTGCCAAAAACCTCCTAAGGGTAGAGAGTTGACTAGACTTAAATTTGATCAACTTTCTATAAAGGCTTATAAGGTGGCTCTACTTGTTAGCATTTTGGTAGTTTCCTTGTCCATGTCTTTGGAACTACCATAATTAAACAAGTTAAACAAAAAATGGGCATGGGACTTAATATTATATTGTTGATATTCTCAAAATGGATTTTCCCAATCTAAGATTTTTCTACACCTTGGTGTTGGCAATTTTTCAAGGGCAAATAATGATTTAGGAAGCAAGAGGAGTACTATACTACTTTGGAAAAATATTATAGTTTCTTTGATTCTTGTGTTAAATGTTGAAAACCACAAAAGAGGTAGTGAAAAGGCTAAGTTTGGAATGGTGGTAGTGTCTTGTTATTTGATTAGATAAAGTTTAAAGGCACATTCAAGATAGTGGATTCTAGTCAACTAATTGGATCATAATGCTTTATTTCTTGGATTTATGAATATCAAGATCATCCAATCTAGCTCTCTTTTATGCTTTGATAATAGTTATCCTGTTAATTTTTCTTATGGATTCAAGGTGTAAAAGTCATATAAAATGCAATGCTTATTGCAATGCCTTTTCTGGTGGAGGAGATAGTTTGGCTCAAAAGGCCAAGCTAC